GCTTATCATTCATTGATTGTTTCATAGTTGGTACAGATTTTTGCCTATCATTCAATTTTTGTTGATTGTTTCATAGTTAATTCAGTTTTTACTCATCAGTCACTTTTTTATGTGAACTAGTTCTCTCAGTTTTCTTAATTTGTTGTTCAACAAATCAAGACAAACATTCCAATCTAAAATGTTTATCATAATACTGCGAGAACAATACACAGATCTCTTATGACCTGTTTCAGGTGAACCTAGTTCTGATATTTGGGGCATTCAATTACTGTAATGAGATAAAGTTGTTCTGCCTTTTCATTTTATCACTGGTTTCTGTTAATTTATCCGATCCTATCATACTCAATATATCAATGCCATTTTGGAAACAATTGCATATAATTCACTCAGGATTGCATCTCCAGAGAAAATGCATCACGGTTGATAATATCCTTCATCATAGTGAAAATAATAAAGATTTTTGGTCACATATATTTTCCTCAGCTTGAATGCTAAAACATGGTTTTATTGAAAATTATTTCCAGTGTTTTTTCAGACAAGTTAGATATGTAAAAATATGTTTAAAAAGATCTTTTATACGTTCATTAGACAGTGAAGTCAATGTGCTCAATTTGTTCAAAACAACCCCGGAAAAACAATTAGGCCAAACCTTTTACTGATTTGCGTATCCAACATATACGTGCTTAAATACCGTGTTACTGTTGTACATCAAACAATTCCAAACATATTTCAACGGTTTTTCCTGATGTATAGCACTATTTGAAAACAGAAGTGTCTTAGAATGCATTAAGTTATTTTATAATCAACATAGATCGCCGATCTATTCTTAAAGCAATCTCATCAAAATAAATATCTTCCATTAAGTTATTTTAAAATCAACATAGACCGCCGATCTATTCTCAAAGCAATCTGATCAAAATAAATATCCTCCATTAAGTTATTTTAAAATCAACATAGACCGCCGATCTATTCTTAAAGCAATCTGATCAAAATAGATAAAATAAATAAAAGATCCTCATACAGAGAACGTTTTCAAAGATATTCCAAAGTACACTAATGCCATTGTACATGCAATCAACCCATGTACCACTAATCTTGATCAATGTTTCCACCTAGGATGTCGTCTCATGTAATTTATAGTAGTCTTGACATAGGTAATTCTCTGATATCACGATTACGTTGTCAAGAGTAGCATAATTGATAAGGTTTCACGAGCTCTGGTTAATATTAGGATGATAACTGATCGCCAACTGACAAAAGTACCCAACAATGATACCAAACATAACACTACTAAAATTGTTTCCTAAATTCATTTCCACAGAAGTTTGGAAAATGCAAGATCCAATACAGGCGTATAGACTACAGTTGATGCACCAACCGTATTATTTAGCCAATGCGCATGCGTGAACCAGTTGTATTACACTGAAAATATGAACTCACCGCTTCTTAAACTTGGTTCAAACAATTTCTTGCATTTTCCTCGAGATATAGCCTTGCCCCAAGTCGGTCTCTTTTACTTATCTTGATTTCTATTATGACCGCCGGTAATAATTCAAGATCAGATAAAGTAAAAAATACCGACTTGGGGCAAGGCTACTCGAGATATAACCTCACACTTTTTTTAACAAATAACATGATGCTCCATAGTGGAAACTATGAAATGCTATTTGAAGTTAGGTAGCAGAATGGCACCTAAGTGATAAAGCTTATTATAATCCAGGAGATAACTGAAATACAAGGTGACATTATCACACTATGGCATCACACCGGGTCTAGAATTTATAATCCGCTGATGCTTGAAGCGATACAGTAGAGGTGTGGGTGTATACCAGAAACCATCATAACTATTTTAAAGATTATGTCAAAAGGATATCATAGACTATAGCATAGTACTTTCATATCTTAAGTTAGCAAAGAATCCATCCAAAGACAGGAAGGATGTTATTGAGCATCGGAGGATTTAATATCGTGTTTAAAGGGACATGCAATCATTTATCTATAAATTTAAACCCCCAGTAGAAGTAATAGATGTGATTTTACACTATATGCAATTCATAAAGAGATTGAAAGCACCGGGTAGTTTGAAAATATAGTTTAATCATTCAAATATTACTTTTCTTGACTTGACATTTTTTGAAAAATATGAATTCTGGAAAAAAGTTGTTCATCTTGTAATTTTCAAATATTTGAATTTCCCGTTTTAGAAACAAAAGTTTAGATTTTTAGATCATAACGTACAACACACAACACTGTATATAAACTTTTAAAGCTCATTTTTTAAAAATATGTGATGTGACAATGATGCCATTTAGGTGGCACAATTTTATTTAAAACGCCAATCTTTTTCTAGCACAGTGCACATGTTTCATAAAAATGCTATTTTCTTCCATAATACTTCAAAATGAAGGGATTAAAGATCTGTCATGAGCTGTCAAAATGCAAGAAAAATATGTTACACATGGACATTAATTTAATTAAGGCTCAATCATAGCTCATTTCCGATTCCATGATTTCCTACTAATCAACCCTTGCTCGAGGGCAAACAAAATATACGGCAAGCTAAGGGAGATCCATCGGAATGAACAATATATAAATGCATGGAATATTTCTTTAGGGATATAATATCTCCTATAACTATCAAAATAATTATAGTAGCAACTGGCACAGAATTTCACAACATTTTCAGTGCATTTTCAGGATATATTTACAGGGTTTACATGCGGATACAGACCCAATACGATCATTATTCGGAAAGCATTCACATTAATTTTCCGGACACCCTGTATATCAATACAACAAATTGTATTTGTTGTTATACTGTTATCAAATTTTCTTTGTACATACTTAACCCATTTTTGGGTATGAATGTTCAATAAAGCTGAATCTATCTATTATTTGTCGTTGAATTGTTATTGGAATTACATATTGTTGTTGCTCCGGAAAAGGGTTTTAATATCAAAAGTGCTTATGATTAATACTGCACTCACGTATCAAAAATGTATAAGAAAGCGGTCAATTAATATCCTTTTGTTGTGGGATTAATTACTCAAAGATGAATGCCATCAAAGGGATTGAACTATATTATGTCATTGATACTCATTTGTATCAGTTAGACGCAAGTTGAACTGATATAAAGAGTAAGCTACTGTCTAGGGGTTTCTGACTTATTGTATTCACGAACACAATGCTAGTGCCAACGTTGACAAATTGATTCTAAAGCCCAAGCTGTTTTTATTACCATTATAGAAGAAAACACTATACGTAAACAATACTCCATTGTCAAGCAGCATCTTAAATAACATGCAATGTCGACCTTAAGTTTGATCATTTTAACAAAACAAAAAACAATTTAAGAAATACGATTAAGCTTTACGTATGATAAGTTATAGGAATATTTATATGATTTGATCAAATTTTTATCAGTTTGCCATACTTCTAAGCATGCAAAAACAAACACACATGGTAACATTGATACGTTATACCCAAACGTTGATACGTTATACCCAAACGTTGATACGTTATACCCAAACGTTGATACGTTATACCCAAACGTTGATACCTTATACATAAATGTTGATACCTTATACCCAAACGTTGATACCCTATACCCAAACGTTGATACCTTATACATAAATGTTGATACCTTATACCCAAACGTTGATACCTTATACCCAAACGTTGATACCTTATTTCTGTGACACCAGATATTGTCGATGTCAATAATCTGCAACATGTTAAGATTAAAGTCCATTTGGGTCAGAATAACGTACTACTATATAGTAGTATATACTACTTTATCCTATGCCAAGTAGAGTTTTAGGGAGATAAGTTGGTAAGATATATCCCGTATTCTGATTTTGAGGTTTCCATATCCAGAACCTCCATATCTCTCGCCATATCTCCCTCTTCGGTGCATATCCTTCCTGCTTCCGGTGCATATCTTCCCGCTTCCGGTAATGCAATAAAATGACTTTGCATATGAATGATTTGTTTATTTTTACATGTCCTTGTACTATTGAAATGGCCATATGCCACTGAAAACTCTACTTGGTATAGGATAAAGCAGTTATGTACGGTCGGTTTGGATATTGGGTTCATCCCTCGTGAGATATGCACATCTACTTTCGGTCCCTACGGTCCCTCAGGTAGATATGCATATTTCCCTCTGGATAAACCCCATATCCAAAACCTCCCAATACATAACCCTTATGTATACTCTAGTATATATATACAAACAATTAGGCTATGTAATGAAATACATGCTTTCGAGGGAACGATACTTTTCTGTCAGTATTTCAACGTTTGTATCCAATACATTTCAATTCATTAAAATTGTTTTTTAAAGCAAATTGTGATTTTGACGTTGGTGCTTGTGATAACATGATGTCAGTTTAGAAAACGTATTTTCATATAATATGTAAAATTCTAGTAATCTGATTGGCTGAAACGTGTGATAACTGATATTAGAGAGTATAAGCTAGCGATATTTTTTACAACGAATTCGTAACCGTGAACGCAAAGACAATGAATCAATATACAGTAATGTATAAAGCGCGCATACAAAACAAGCGCTACTTAGTCTAGTTCAAATACCCGATCAGCTTCAGAGCTGTGTTTAGAACGGGAGATTTGCATTTTCGCGTTGGTGTCAACGGGAATCATATGCCTTATGTCTATTGAGCACTATGCTGGCAATTTTGATTTCGATGCGCACTATAATGCTTTCTGAAGAAAATGATGTGTGTCACACATGTTTTAGCTCCAAATATCGCACTAGACGAACTTGTTTAAAATAGAAAACTAACTATATAACTATCAATGACTCATTACACGATGATGTGTAGTCTATGCAAAGGACTAATTAAACACTGTAACTGAACGATTGCTTATGTGAGAAAATTACATGCATTTGTACAGGGCAACCCTTGCGTGCTGGTTACGTTTCGATTTTATATGCATTGCTTAAAGTCTCAAATCTGTTTCATGACTTAAAATACCGTGTATGTCTATGTCAAATGGACCAATCAGATTACCAATGTCACCGTCAATGAATGACATTTATCCGTACTCATTAATTAATATTTAACTCCTGAAATACAGTCGCATTGTCAACCCAACGCTTTCGGCTCCATAAATTGTGATTGACGTGCGATATCATACTACATGTTAAGACACACGTATTTTTAGAACTTGTACGTGAACGTGAAGAATTAGGGTCTTCTGTGGATTATTTCTCCCATGTATAGTGTTTAGTATGGTCGACTGAATATAAAGGCATACGGCAAATAATTGTAATTGGGTCCCTGGAAAAGTGAATTGAGAGCGTGACACAGTAATACCCGGGGGACATAATATTACACGCTCACGAACAGGTTATCTTTAAAACGTGTCACTTAACCTCTCTACTATTTACACCAAATATACATGTCTTGAACAGCTACAATACCGTCTCTTCTGTAACGCTAACGTGCTTACCATTGACGTGTTGATACGTTTCTCTGACGTAACAACGTAAACGTTTTGCTATCAACGAGTAACCTTCCCTGATGCTTTTTGTTCTCCTTCCGTAAATAAGAGGATCCGTGATAAAGTTCAGGTAAGGAATGTAAATCGCAAAATTTAGGTTAACAAATTTAAAATGCACATTTGAATAGTTTAATAAGCGAATAAGAATGTATGGGAGTAGAGATAATATGAGCGTTGTCATGAGGATAACTGTCGTCACCAAAGCAACGCAGTTCTCTTCCAATTGATGTTCGTTCCGAAGTCGTTGAGATCTTTGGCGTAGACGCAGGCTAATGCTAATGTAAAGTCCCATGATGATTACAAATGTAAAGAGCAGAACGCCCGGCCAGATGAAATTCCAAGAATCACAGAGAACCCGTGTATGAACAGAAACTGGGTGATACATTTCCAGTATGTGACAATACGGCGGTAGACTGAGTATCACCGATGTTATCCATATACACACGACATAGATCCTTATGCGATAAGATGTGCCAACAATGTTGAACTTGGTGGGTCGACAAATAGCGATATGCCTAAGGCTTACGAAGACGAGTAATGTTAGGGCTGAGGCAAGGTAGAAGAGTACAAACAGCTGTCTTTGAACTATAGCCAACACAAAGTTAATAGTTACGTTTGAATTATGGTTCCAATAAAAATTCATGTAGTAAATTGTATCTAAATAGCAAGAGAACGCCCCTAGAGTATCTGCAATTGCTAGATTTAAGAACAGAATGTGCTTTCCAGTATGTTTTTCTGGCGCAGAGATGATTGCCGCAATCGAAACAAAGTTTAATATTGTTGAGATTACGAAAAGAACAGATGTAATTGGCACCAAGCGTTCGATTGGAACATTGAATGTATTAGTAATCGATGTTTGATTGCCATATGTAATGTTATCCATGACTGCATCTTCTAATAACGTCGTCGTCGTCGTGACATTTTGCGCCAGTGTTGGTGTATCCATATTTGTGTAATCCAATATGCCGTTATGTTTTAAAATAGTCTTGTGTGCTTATTTTACCCTACTCGTCTCTTACACTTAGGTTCTCTTATTTTACCTTGTGTGCTCAAATGTATCCTTCCGAGTGCTATCGTTTTATTTGTTATCCAACATTTTGTCTTAGATTGTTCTACGTTACTTTGCGCATGCTATCTTGAGACGAAAAATTCCGAGTTTGATCGATAAAGAAACTGAAAGAAAGTACCTTATCCTCCAAAACAACAGACTGATTGCGTTAATTTGATTACATTCATAATGAAGAGCATACTTGTTGCCTTCTTAAGTATTTCCACCCGGGATTTTCACTGGAAGCGAGATATTCAAAGCACGTCTTGGTGCCCAGAACGTAGATCCCCGCAACTGTACTAAACGCAAGCACTACACATCTAAGTAGAGCTTTCATTCTAAGTTCCACGAATATCCGCTAATTTATCACTCTTTACAGTACTGCCAACATATTTCTTACAATTTCTAGAATGAATTATCGAATCGGTATCCATACGTCTTGCCCAGCTCAATGCTACATTAACCCGTAATTACGTTAACCTCTGCGCAACGCAGGTGACTTGTATTTATCATCCGCTGATGTATTCGCACTTTCGTTTGCTTCGCACAACAATTCACTTTGTAAACAACAGTCGAGTGCTACTCCCACTTAGCGTTAGTGGTTTGATCCATCATCTGAGGGAGAACTAATATTCAGCTTGTTCTAATTAGATACAGCATTGTGATTTCTACGACTAAATTTGCCCCTCCGAGTAAAGAATACATACTAGCAATTCTTCATTATGTGCAGCACAATGATTGACAATTAATGTTTACAGAACCTACACAGGAACCTACTGTAAAGGATGATTACAATTAATCTCTTCATTATTTATGGATTTGCAATTATTTGAATTCTCGATCAATTTGTTTTTTAAGTTACTGTGCGTGCTTTGAAGAGCCAAGGTGGCTTTTGACAGAAACGGTCTGATACTAGTCAGACATAGGTGATATCATAACCACATAATAACTTTTTAATATGAGCTGAAATGAAAGATCTCGTTTTTTGCTAAATTGTAGTAACCATCAGATCGTTAAATCTAATCACATGGGATCTGAAAACTGAGAGAAAAGTGATTGCGTGCATGTTGGTTGTCAACAGCACAGTTACTAAACTTTATTGCCGACAGATTCTTAAAGGAGCACGGAATGTTTGGTGATCATGATGAGGATATCAGATCGTAGCTGGGATACAAAAACAGTCGAGGCAAAAAAGTAGTTGAGGCAAAAATAAGCCAAAGAAGATGTTCTATTAGACATAATAAGGTTTACGTCGAAAACGTCGTTGCGAGCCGCTTGGCCTGCCTCATGTAGTATAGTATAGCCTACTTTTGGTAAGGGGGGCTCGAACTCCGCCCCATCCACACATAAAACTTTTATCATGCTTAATCAACTTCGCATTGTAATTACAAGAGTGTTATTAACAAGACATCAGGGTGAGCCAGAAAATAAAGGAGGAGTCACAAAAATTTCCGAAGAAAATTGGGGCCCAAATGTTGAAATATAATGCCCAATAATGCCGAATTTTAAAAAATGCCTATTATTTGGATGATTTAGAAGGAACAAATCTCGATCCAACCATTACATTTTCCCTGGTCGGCACAGCGAGCCACATGAGTTGAATTTCTTTAAGAAAAAAATCTTAATGCAGAAATTGACCTGAATCTACAAAGATATTATAACAGTGCAAAGGTCTTTCATATTTGTTACGTTTACCTCAGGGATATTACCATTTGTCAGGCAGAAATGTATATGAATTTAATTCCTTTCCAGATTAATTCACTTTGTGGCTTAGTGGCCCACTGAGATAACATTGAGCTTTTATAGGCACACTAGATTTTTATCAAACTTATTAGGTTATCTTATACTATGAGTGAAATGAAACCATTTTGTTCAATTTCCTAAGTGCAATTTCAATTCTCATGACACGAGAAGACCCACAAGATATCCCATCACCCCATAGCACATTACGACCTGGCAGGAAACCAAAAGCAACTAGATGGCCCAGAAGGACCAACTTCACGGCTTCAAGTCAACTCATGGCGGAAGGCCGAATCCCATGTTTATCATATATGGCTTGGAACATGGACCTCTAAGGGCCATCTTAGTGAATTTACAGCTTGGAAAGACATCCCAGTGAACTCACCGCCTCGACGGATTCCATTTTTATGCAATGCGGTGTTTCTAATAAATCAAACTATTGACATTAACCTTTGCCGTGTTACAGTAACCTACTCATGTGAAAATCGTGGAAATTCAGTGACATTTAAAGATGTATACTTAAGTAAATTGGACATCTTCAACTCAGATTTCACACTGTAAATAGGAGAAGACGATAATATGAATGTCAGTGCTTATCCTTCAAACTGAAGTAATGTAAGTTTTACCCAAATCCTACCCGACCCAACCTTCCGCTCTAGTGATCGCTTATTTGATGCCACCTGACACTTTTAGCAAAGATGTGCCAACGCTTCAATTTGACGGTTCACGACTCAGGTCAAAAGCGACTGCCAGGCTGGCAATCGGTTTTTTTCAAATTTTCAAAATGTGATTGCCAAAAATTTGGGATTAGTTTGCAGGAAGAACCATGTAGATGCCTATTTAAAATTAAATATCATCAGCAGCTGCAATAAATAAATCATCATCGCCATTAGCACTATCATCACTGCTTGTAAAAGGTACTGACCACTCCATGTCTCTATTGTTAACTGTGTTCATCATTCTCTTTTCAATAATTACAGTTTCTTCACTAGTTGCACTGGGACACTGCACTGTTGGGTCACCACGCACACCATCCTCACTGATTGATGACTCCCTTGTTGAGCTTTTACTTTGACAGAAAACTTGGCCTTTTCGATCATCCATGGAATTTGTTACCAGCCCCTCCCCACTGGACATTTTGATTACAGCAGTCTTATTTGTCTTTAAAAAGTGAAAATGGGTCGAAATGTTTACGATATTTCAAAACATCGAAATAGCATTTACTAGCTCCACATTTTTCAATCATCCCCGGGAAGTGTGGTCTCTTAGCCAATCAAAATCGAGACTGCTCAAAGCGAGGCTGTTCCTTCACACATAAATTGTAATAATTATCTTGTTTCATTGCAGTCTTGACCTAAATTTATATACAGATCAATTATTGAAACAATTAGAACAAGATCGTTTTAAAAATCCGAAAAATAAGTATTAACGTTTGATTTAACCCACCTATCACACCAAACTAGTTCTCAACCGTTCTTTCCAGTCCTACGAAAAAGTCGTAAAACGGCCCGGGCTAAATCTGGCTGTGGTCGGGAAATATGTCTAAAATAATTTGCTACTTCGTTCATAAACAGTCTTGAATACGTGTATCTCATTCGCAGTTCGTTCAGATAGCACCATGTCGGTGTGCACACTTATTGCAATTGATATTCGATTGCACAGCGTTGTATAACGCTTCCCTAGCGAGGTTGAACTACGGCAATTACGTTCCTGGTCTAGTAGGTCATCTCGTTTGAAATACGTTGTCACACGATCTTATTACAGAACGGTATACCTTCGAATTTTGAATCATTACAAAATTCTAAAATCACCTTCCCGTCTGGGAACGTTCATGAAGTTTGTAAATAGACCTTAGAAAGTTGCAGCTACGTTCATTCCGTTCGCACACAGTTAAAACCAGTTTTGAAGAACGCAGTTGCAACTTGTTTGGTGTGATAGCTATATTTTTGCTAACTCGTTTCATGAGCAGTCTTTAATACGTTCTTAATCAGTTTAAACCCGTTTGAAATTAGTTTTACCTCGGTCTCAATACTTCCTCAGACAGTTCAACTCAGACAGTTCAAGTCCCTAGTAGGATTGAAGTACAACGGTTTCGTTCGTAGTACGTCCAGCTCGTCGTTAGTACTTTGTCACCCGTTCAAATTGTTGAACGTGATGACCACGAGAACATTTTAAGCATGTTCTAAGTTCTAGAGGACCTACCCGTTCGAGTACGTTCGATGAAGTTTGTAAATAGACCCCAAACTGTTCACAGTACGTCCAGTCCGTCCGTCCGTCCGTCCGTCCGTCCGTCCGTCCGTCCGTCCGTCCGTCCGTACACTAGTTGAAGCCCGTTTTCGAGAACGTAGTGAAAACTAGTTTGGTGTGATAGTGGGGTAATGGACCTAAGTCTCCATCCATTGTCAGTTACGATCACGACGTGTAAAAAAGTCCATTTCCCAAATTGGCATTTGGGTTCACTGCCAAGAAGAGTGACTGCCATTGGCAGGCCGTGAATTTCGAACGCTGCTACTTGTTAGATACTTGTCATAGATACTTTCTTAGAATAAATTGAATTACACGTTGGTTTCTACTTACTGAGCCAATGTTACAGTAGTTATTTCTCACGGGACGATGCATTCATCATTTTCATTGTAGTGAAAAAAATCGGTTAGCGCAAACCTATATCTATTGTGCCGTAATCTAATGTTTTGTGTTGAAACAGGAAATGAAAAAAAGAATAGGAAACGAAGCAGGTGCTAATATTCAAACCTGAGGCCCGGTTATTTAATTTTTTTAAATCATGTATCTTTTGTTATATCCGGTATTTCTTGTCACGTCTATAGGATTTTGTAATGTAGTTAAATAATCAACAATACATTAAATATTCGTACACTATATCTAATAGGGAGGAAATAATATTTTCTACATCCCATACTGTATGTTATCTAATTTTAATGACTGGTTGATTTGATCCCTTGATATTTAAGTATAAAATCGTATCTTTAATCTGGTAAACATATGCATCAACCAATCATAGCTTTCTGCTTTGTCACGTGTTACGCTGTGCATCAAACGTCAGGCACGTAGCCATGGGAGAGCTGGGGGGGGGGCGGAAGCTCCCCAGTTTTCACCATTCTGTGGACATTTCGTATGAATGTTAAGCCAAAAGTGTAAAGAAAGCTCCCCCCTTGGCAAAAGCCCCTCTCCTGTAAAACCTGGCTACGGGCAAGAACGTTATTCCTCATTGAGATTTTTAGACGTTGTGGTAGTGACAAACCTTTGTTGACAGCATGAGCACCCACCATCCAATGCTGCTGATTAAATCTGAGATCTAATTTCAACCACGATGGAATTCAATATATGAAGCTCATAATGATGTCCTCAGCCCGATGTAATTTGGCTTCTATCATTAGAGTTGGATTCATATTTATAGGTTTCATGTTAATTATGATGTGGTCGTTTGCCTTTGTATCGCATCGAACGTCCTTCCCGTGCAACTGTTGCATTCTTACTTCCACACGCATGG